CCGCTGCTTCTGCTGCCGCTGAATGGCTTTGATATCCAAAGCTTCAAAGAAAAAACAGCAGCATTCGGATTAAAGAGGATTCCTTTTTGGCATGGCAAGGTGTGCATGGCCTTGGGGGATAGCCACCAGTCGGGGTCACCTGACTGAAGAGATCACCTCTACAGTGTCATCTTTAAACAAAAACTTGGGAAGGCACATGCATGAAATGAAGCTCATCCCCCACACAATACAATCTGATTGTACAATCTCCTTTGAATCTATCAATTACTATGTAGTGCAAGGGCCTACCTGATTGGATGTCAGTTAATTGGATACTTTGATTATCAATTTGATTAGATAGAGGTAGGTCCTTTGTTTTGGTAAATCTAAAGGAAATTATACGTTTCTCCACCAGATCCATCAACAACTATGTATTACTGCCTGACTGGATATCCATTAATTGGTCACATTGATTGACAATGTGATTGGATAGAGGTAGGCCCTCATAGTTTTGGTAAATCTAAAAGGTCAGCCCTCATAGATTTGGTAAAGTTAATAAGATGTTTCTTCATAAGATCCATCAACAACTTTGGTGATTGGGTAGAGGTAGGCCCTCAAAGTTTTGGTAAATCTAAAGGTAATGATACGTTTCTTCATTAGATCCATCAGCAACCATGGTGATTGGATAGAGGTAGGCCCACATAGTTTTGGTAAATCTAAAGGTAACGATAAGTTTCTTCATGAGATCCATCAACAACTATGGTGATTGGATAGGAGGTAGACCATCATAGTTTATGTAAATCTAAAGGTAACGATAGGTTTCTTCATTAGATCCATCAACAACTTTGGTGATTGGATAGAGGTAGACCCTCCTAGTTTTGGTAAATCGAAAGGTAATGAGTTGTTTCTTCATTAGATCTATCAACAACATTGGTGATTGGATAGAGGTAGGCCCTCATGGTTTTAGTGAATCTAAAAGGTAATGATATGTTTCTTCATTAGATCCATCAACAACTATGTAATGCAAGGGCCTGTCTGATTCAATACAAATTAATTGGATATATTGATTGAAGAATTGATTGGCTAAAGATACCTTCCTCCTTCAGATCTATCATCAACAACGTAGTGCAAAGGTCTGCCTGATCGGAAACAAAATAATTGGATACATTGATTGACAAATTGATTGGATAGAGGTTGGTCCTCATAGTTTTGGTAAACCTTAAATTAATTGTACCTTTCTCCATTAGTTCTATCATCAACCATGTAGTGCAAGGTCCTTATAGTTTTGGTAAATCTAATGTTAATGATACGTGTCTTCATATGTAGTGCAAGACCTGCCTGATTTGATACTATTTAGTGGTACAGACTGATTGGATAGAAGGAGGTCCTCATAGTTTTGGTAAGCCTAAATGTTATTGTAAATGTCGATTGTATCATGCATGTTGACCCTTGCAGCCCAAGCACACAGTGCATTCTCTACAGGGCACCAGATCATCATACTCCTCCCCAACGTATGTAAATAATTAAAAGCCCTCCAATAAATATTAAAGCAGCTCCAATCTCCCGCTTGGTGTTTCAGCTCTGGCAGATTTATAGGAGGACAGGTCTAGTAGTTTGATGGGGCCAGACAGCTTCATATAAGTGAAATGATGCAGATGTGTAGAGAGGAGGGAAAGGTGGAAGGAGGAGGAGGGGGAGGGGGTGTAGAACAAGACAGGATACCTACACTGGCTGCATACAAAGCACTATCCCCGGTGTCATGTTACTGGAGCACAAACCTACAAGTCATGCTTTGCACAGACTGAAGACTCAGCTCTTATCACTTAGACACGCCCAATGGCCCCCCCCCCCCCCTTCTTTCCTTCTACAGGGTCTGTACAGAACATGTCTGCATGGAGTCTGGCTGTATTGAACTGACGATGAACTAACATGCATGCATTTAGTCTGGCGTTCATATGGAACACAACATACACTTACATAATAACAAACTGGCTTCTTGCATCAATACAGGAGACCTGCTTGCATGCATGCAAAATGTGTGCTTGCATGTGTGTGTAAGTATGTATACATGGACACACATTCCTATCATGTGCCTACACATTTTGCATGCATGGCTTCAATTCATCCATTAGATATGGGGTTTACTGATCTGGCTATAACCTAGCATGCATTCACATAGAGGATCATTATGCAATGTTAGGCAAGGTACATGCATGTAAACATCCTGTGATTGTATATAGTGCATGCTGCATCGCCTGTATATGTTCCTTTTGATAACAGTTTGGTTCCGATCAGTGGCGCTGAATATGAACTAGGATACAGGAGTAGGAAGCCATGAGATAAAGTACATACCCAAGAGGTGGTTACAGAGAACACACCTCTCATTCATAGGGCTGCACATGTAAAAAGGATGCATGGATTTCACCAGTATCTCATTTGTAGACATTTGATTGAACAATGCATCCATTCATATCAAGTATCACAACGCAGGCAGCCACATGCACTTCTAGATAAACTACCTATACACAATATATGTATCAATGATCATGCACTGAATCATGTATGCGTTTGACACTATTGGGCGTTTTTTGGATACGTGCAAGGGGCAACAATGGCATGCAAAGGATGAGACAGCTAGAGTCACAATGCAAAGAGCCACATCCACTTCTAGATACGTAGATATACACATTAGTAGTATTACTGATCATACATGGACTCAATGTATGCATTTTAAACACTATTGGGCTTTTTGGGTGTGTGCAAAAGGGCAATGATGGCATGCAAAAGTGCAGCCAGCCATAGTCACAATGCAAGCAGCCACATGCACTTCTAGATAAAGTATACATACACACATTATATGTATTACTGATCATGCACTGACTCAATGTATGCATTTTGGACACCATTGGGCATTTTGCATATGTGCAAAGGGCAATGATGGCATGCAGGAGAGCAGAAAGCTATAGATCTTAATGAAGTGCAGGCAGATTTAGGAGGTTGCCATGAGTTACTGCACTTTGGTCTCTATCTCTACCCTTTGTACTGCAGAGCCCCATCTATGCATCTCACACATATGCAATCATAACATGTTTCATGTCACACACACAAACACACCCCCCTTCCGAACTGCCAAAATCTGGTTAGCTGCAGGAAAGCAGGAGCCCGGCCCCACCCCCTTCCCAGTTCTAAGAGACACACTGACACCAGTACCAGTTTCTATCAGTTCCAGCTGATTTATTAAAATCATCAAGATACAGCCTTTCAGCAATAGGAAAAAACAGGCAATGATGTAGACAGTGCACAAGTCTGTTATTCCATCATTTGCTACAAAATATGCAGATGGCCTGTATTCACTTTTTTTTTTCTCCTTTTTCAGATTATATTGCACATTTTTTTGTAATTTTTTTTGAATGTTATTTAGAAACCTTTATTATGTGCCTTTTTTGCTAAAAATCCAGCATCCAGTTTCATACTTGTTCAGGCCCCATCCACATAATACAGCATATGATATACATAGAGTCCTACTATATTACAGTACATATACAATCTTTAAGCTACAGCTCCTCTGAGGTCTAGGTCACCAATTCAATAAATCTTTACCTACAAATATTGGACAAAATCTGAACTATAGCTGTACAAAAAAAATGTTTTTAAAACCACAAGGCCTTTTTTTAATTTTTTTTTCTTAGATGCAAGGATTTTTTTTTCCTTTTTTAATCCCCAGATCAGGACATTTTTTTTTTCTCCAACATACTTGCATGCTAAAAACAGAAACGAAAACATAAGAAGTGCCTAAAACGTCTCACTGAAAACAGCAAAAAACAAATGACAGCAGGAATGTTCCCTTTAAACTGTACAAAAATACGCCTGAAAATATTTTAATTTTTAAAAAAGACTGAGGTCTGTCATGTATCAAAAATGGTTCAATACCTTTTTTTTTAATCTTTTTTTTTTTTTTTGTGTGTACTGAGGTCTGGGTTGTCTGAAATTCAAGGAGGTAATAAGGGAACAAGTTTTACAAAAAAAGTTGGCAATTAAAATCACATTGTGAAACCATACATTAGTTTTTTTTTTTTTGATCTGTAAAAGTAAAAACTCTGATTACAATCAGTTCACAGTTAAGTGTAGCGGTTTGTCCTGTCTTGCTTCAGCTCCCTGCAGCTTTAAGAGATGCATAGAAGAGAATTGAGTTTCTCCCTCCAAAAAAAATTAAAAAAACACAAGGTTGTCATAGTCCTTTTTTGTTTCCAAGAGATTGCAAGTGTGTGCAGGAAAAAACAAAAACATAAACACAAAGGTTGTCCTAGTCCTTTTTTCCCCAAAGCAGATTGCAAGAGGGTACGGTATAAAAAAATAATAAAAATAAAGGTTGTCCTTGTTTCCAAAAAGATTGCAGGAGTGGGAAGGGTAGAAAAAAAATTTAAAAAATGAACACAAAAAAAAAAAGGTTGTCCTAGTACTTTTTTTCCCCGAAAACAGATTACAAGTGTAGGGGAAAAATAAATAAAATAAGAACACAATAAAAGGTTGTCCTAGTACTTTTTTTTCCAAAACAGATTGCAAGTGTAGGGTTAAAAAAAAAAAAAGGAGATATATAAAAAACACAAAGGTTGTCCCAGTCCTTTTTTTTTCCAAATCGCAACAGTGTGTAGGATTAAAAAAAAAAAAAAAAAAAACACAATGACCCCCTTGAGAATCAGCTCAGCTGACAAGAAATAAAACATTTCTATTCAACATTTTCCAGACCGTTGATCAAACAGAATTTTTTGTTTTTTTCATTTTGAGAGCCCTCTCCTTCCTCCACATGTTCACTTATCATACAGTGAAATGCCAAAGATCACAGGCAGTGAATCAAACATTTTTTGGATGAACTTAAAAAATAATAAAAAGGGATCCTTCGACCCGCTTTTCCCCCCTCCCCAACCCCACTTTTGTTCAAAACCCTCCCCAAAAAATATTTAATACAAAAATTACAAAAAGAAAAAAAAGTCCAAAAAAAAAGAAAAAAACATGTTGAGATCTTAGTAGGTGAAGACCAAGTCTGAGAAGTTAGCTTCCAACCAGTCCCCTGCAATCATTTCGCTGAGCTCTGGGGTGCAGTAATCTGGGAACTCGAAGTGGGAGCCTAGGCTACCTTCGCTGCAAGAGTCCAAGTCTTTGTCCACCAAGGAGAGGGAAAGGCTTCCTGAGTTGGAGTTGCCCAGCTCGGGTGCTGCCTGAGGGTTGTGTGTGAAGTTCAAGCTGAGATCGAAGAGGAGATCGTCCTTGTCGCTGCTGGATGAGGTAGAAGAGGAGATGGAGCGGGATGGGGCCAGGGTGATGGTGGGTTGTGCTGTGCTGGGTTTGGTGATGTTCTTGAAGTTGTAATAGAGTCTACTGTTGGTGCTGATGCTGCTGGCCCCGCTCACCTCCTCGTACATGCTGGCCCCTTCTGTGGACTCCGCAGAGGAGCTTAAGGTGGGACTGGCCGGCACTTTGGCCACATTGTACTGCGGGAGCTGCTCATCCTCTTCCTCCTGCTTGATCCTCATCTGCAGCTCATCATCCTCATCCTCCTCTTCCTCATCATCCTCATCCATGAAGACACACTTGACAGCCTTGGTCACCTTGAGGTTGCCCAACAAGCAGTCCTCCATGCCAGGAGAGTTGGCTCCAAGCTTGCTGGTGGTGGAGGTGGTGGGGCTGCTGCTGCTGCTGGTGGACTTCATCTTGGGGCATTTCTTGGCAGAGCTCCTGCCCCCCTTGATGGCCCCGGGGCTCTTCTCTGGGGATTGCCCCAGGGCATGCTGCTTGGAAGAAGCCTCCAGCTTGGGCTTTTTCCTGGGTCGGTACTTGTAGTCGGGGTAATCCGCCATGTGTTTGAGCCGGAGGCGCTCGGCTTCCCGGATGAAGGGGATCTTCTCGCCGTCGTTGAGCATCTTCCAGCGCTTGCCTAGTCTCTTGGAGATCTCGGCGTTGTGCATGTCCGGGGACTGCTCCATGATCTTCCGCCGCTCGATCTTGGACCATACCATGAAGGCGTTCATGGGGCGCTTGATGTGCCCGGTGGCGGTCTTGCACCAGTCCGGGTCGCTCTCGTCCAGCGCCGCCGGGCTGCCGGCCATAAACTCTCCCTCCTCCTCGGTCGGGTGGCCGCCGTCCAGCTCCAGGCTGTCTACCTGCTGCACCATGGTGGGGTCACCTCTGCCGTGTAGGAGCGCGGTGTGAGTGTGTGTGTGCCCGCCGCCAGCCCCCCTTTCGCAGCCTCTCCGGCCGCTCTGCTCTCCTCACTGCCTTCTGCTAGAAAACTTCTAGCCGACCCCAAAGTCTACTAGTTATCAGAGCGAGCGAGGGCATTACATCACTCCTGCGGGGGCCAATCACGGAGCGGCGGTCACGCCCACCACAGCCGAGCGTCGCTGCCAGACACGCCCCTCCCGGAGCTAAAATAATCAAGAGGTGGGCGGGGCCGAGGAGCTGGAAAAAAAAAATCCCAACCGCTGGATAGAGTGTGCAGGATCGTACCATGGAGGAGGAGGAGGAGGAGAGGGGGGGAGGACCAGGCACTGACAGCTCCCAGTCTTGTCATCTACAATAAGTCACAGAGCTGCTGCTCCTGCTGCTGCTGCTGCAACCCTTATCGGAATGGGATGATGTCTGCTGAGTGATACCTGGGAGCTAACCGGCTGTGGAGGCGCGGAGAACGCATGGTGAACGCGCACGTGGAGGGCGATTTACTAAGAGTCTTCGCTGGGAAAAAAAAATTACAATTGCAATGAGATTATTTCTGCACATGCAGCAGGACTGCGTAACTTTACAAGTGGTGGAAAGACGGGACTAGAGTGCTGAAAAAGTCGTCCAAGCGAATCATGGGGAACGCGCACGTGGAGGGTATTTACGCGATTTACTAAAGGAGTTGGGGGTCTTCACTGGGGAAAAAGAAAAAAAAATTGCAATGCGATTATTTTTGCACATGCAACGGGACTGCGTAACAGTGCAGGTGGTGGAGAGACGGGACTGAAGTGCTCAAAAAGTCGCGTAAGCGAATCACGGGGTAAAAAAAAAAAAATTGCAGCGTGCACATTTCTGTATATGCAGCAGGACAGCGTAACCGCGCACGTTGTAGAGAGGCGGTGCTGAAATGGTCATCCTACCAAATCAGCACATAGCGCGGTAAAGCCGGAACAGGGAACGTGCACGTGGAGGGTGATTTACTAAAGAAGTCGGGAGCCTTCAAATGCAGCATGCACGTTTCGGTATATGCAGCGGGACGGCGTAGCAGTGCGCGTTGTAGAGAGACGGGACTAAAGTGATCAAAAAGTCATCCGGCCAAATCAGCACGTAGCACCGTATAGAGGTGGAACTTGGTGTAATGTTTCAATGTCTTGATGTCAAATGTTATAGACAGGCAGAATTTATATTGACTGGGGTAGGGAGGGGGATTCAATCGGGGCTTTGCGCCAGGGGTGTGGCCCTTTAAATGATCCTGCGTCAAATTCAAAGCGTCAAATGGTCACATTGATTACCCTGATGAAGGGAACACGCCGGTTCCAAAACGTTGCCATCTTTTGTGACAACATGTTCATAATGTCAGTAAAGGACGGACTGATAAGGTGGACCTCTGTGGTGACCTCATGACCTCTGAATTCAAAGCCCTGTCGCCAGTTCTGCCGCAAATGGCGGTGCTTGCGCCAAATTCGTGTACCTGTTTCTGACCTGCCGTGGCGATGCATGCCGGAATTCTAAAGAGTTTTATAGGCACTCTTTATTGATTCTTTATGTGTTTCTATGTACACTGAGCTATACAATGTCGGTGCCTGCTGAGATGAATGATGTCATCCCAAGGTGGCCAATCAGGATGGCGGAAGATCCCGCTCCCGGAAGAAGACCGGAGAAGATGTCAGCGAGGGAGCTCACGGGTGTTGCATCGTTGGGCGGGAGGTGAGTATATTCACCATTTTGTATCACGAAAATTGAGAATTGTATCATGCTTACCCGTAATTTTCCTTTAATAGCACCAATCCATGGCAGCATACATGTGGTTATATGTTGCCATGTTGGTGCAAGGAAACATGTCATACTTAACAGTAATGTTCCTTTCCTGGTGCCAACATGGCAGTATTCATGTGGTTGTATGCTGCCATGCTGGCATCAGGAAAGGGAAAATTGTATCATACTTGCCCATAATTTGTCTTTCCTGGCGCCAGTCCATCCATGGAGACATACTACCACATGTATGCTGCCATGTTGGCACCAGGAAAACAGAAAGCTGTATCATACCCGAAATGTTCCTTTCCTGGAACATTTCCTGTATGACAGCATACATGTGGTTGAATGTTGCCATGTCGGTGCCAAGAAAATGGAAAATTGTTTCATACTTACTATTAGACATGTGCATTCGGATTCTGACATCCTGCAAATCAACGAAATTCAGTTGATTCGGCGGTCCGTCCGGATCCGAAATAACGGATTTATTATATGCCAGAATTTACTAAAACTATATTCGGGCATACATAAATATACACCAAGATGGGAGCGCCCGAACATATGAGCGCCGTTCTCTTGATGTAGACCAAGATACACGCAAAGATGGTGGCGCGCTTATTCTGTATTTTCAGTGTGCGGTTTCGGATTTCAGAGGCTCGTTGCCTCCGAATCCGAAACAGTAGAAACATTTCTTTTCTTAGATGAAACAAATGGAAACGTTTTTCGTTTTCATTTGTTTTGTCAGAAAACATTTTTTTTTTGAAGTGCACATGTCTAGTTACTAGTAACTTTAGTTTCCTGATGCCAACATGGCAGTATACATGGGGTTATATGCTGCCATGTTGGTGCCAAGAAAACAGACAATGGTATCATACTTGCCCAGAATTTTCCTTTCCTGGTGCTAAAATGGCATCATACATGTCGTTGTATGCTGCCATGTTGGCGCCAGAAAAATGGCAAACTATCATACCCGTAATTTGGCTTTCCTGGTGCCAACATGGCACCATAGCACCATGCTATGCTGCCACGGTGCCAGGAAAGTTGCCTTTAAGACATAAAACCCCTTGGAATGAAGGAGTGTGCCATACAGTCGATTGGTGATTGTCGGCTCCCGAAGAGAATAGGTATGAGCTGAAACCCCTTTTCTGACCAGGGCACAGAGTTACTGGACTTTTATTCCAGCCTTGTGGTTCCACCCCTCCGTCCCATTCCATTTTCCTGCCTTAGAATATGCTGGGCATATAAACAATATACCTTTTGTTTAGCAGATTAATAGTACAACTCGCAAAAAACAGAAAACGAGTTTATTGCAGAATAATATGCATTGTGCGATTGGACGCATTGATGGACGCCGTAGACGGACACCGAGGCCTTAAGTATATTTCTGGGCACAGAACTGATGGCTTTCCTCCAAATGTTTGACACAGAGAGGTTCTTGAAATTCTGTCTACATGCCCTTTGTGACCTGCCCGATAACAATACATTGTGTGAGTAATGCACCTCCACAGAGGGAGGGAGGGAGGCGCGTTCACAATGCAGCTGAGCACCACAGAGGCCATTGAAGGTTGCCCCAGACGCAGATTTCTGGAAAGCATCTGCCAATCAGGATCCCCGGCATTGAGAAAAGGAGCAGCTGGAGAGGGAAGGTGTGATAAAACCAAGCAGCAGAACTATCCATCAATACAATTCATAGGCTGCTCCTATTTAGCTGCGTGAATATATTATAAAAGGCCATGTAGTCTAAAGCAGAGCAGCTTGTCAATGTCCCAGAAAAATGGAAAAAGTCATTCAAAAGGGAGAGGAAAGTACAATTCAATATTGTAAATGAACCCCGGAAATGCCCAATGTTGCGACGCACACATTGGTGTATATGGGCCCTAAGGGAGACGACCTGAAATCATTTGATTATATCTCAACCCTTTCACCTGACGAAGGTGAAAGAAACCTCAACGTTGGCACGCAGTTTTGCAACTTTGACCACGTGCTAATAAACCTGTTGCATCCGGGGGAATTATACTTTATTTGTTCTTAGGACAATCTATTATTTATTTCATTATTTATAATAGTGGTTCTCAACCTGTGTAACCTCAGGACCCACATTTGTCCTTGGTCATTAAGTCCCCACCCAAGTCGCAATGCACTGGAAACGCACAGCATTGCTGTACCTTGTGTTCCGGTGTGGGTGATCAAACTGAGGGCAGGAGGTGCGTTTGGGGTGCCATTCAAATGAATGGCAACACACCTCCTGCACCAGGACGCATGATAGGTGCGATTGCGTTCCAAAGAGTGCGATTGCATGGTACAGTGCGTTACTTACATCGGACTGGGTGATTAAAACACTGTATTAGTGTGAATGGGCCCTCAAAGACACTGACAGAGACACACAACCAGAGACACAATCTCACACACTCACAGACATTCTCACACACACATACACACTCCCAAAAAGCTTTTCTTTTTACATATTTTTTTTTTTAAATCCACCTTGTCTCCCTACATTACGGGAACTGGAGTCCAGTGCGGGCTGCTGTGCTGTGACAGAGCCCCATTCATATGTGCCTTGCGTGTGGCGTCATTCCGGTCCAGGCACCTCTACAGGGCATGCCAGGGAGCTATAAGCAATGCATGTATGGATAGAGCTCCCTCGCGGTCATACCCCCAGCCAACCCCAAGCTGACAATCACCACTGGGCAGCATATTTCGAATGGCTGCTTGCCGCGAGAACTGAATGATAGGGGGAGGCTAAGAAACTTCTCACCTAGCACAGTGGAAGGCACGTGGCGACCCAGTGAACACGGGGTTGCGACCCACTTTTGGGTTGCAACCCACCAGTCGAGAACCACGGATTTATAATATTATATTATATATAATTATATAATCATTGTATTAAGCAATAATAATTGTATTATATACAATAAGTATATATCATTATTATATAGTAAATTATTTGTTCTTATTATCAAAAGAAAATAGTAAAAAATAAATAAATACAAATTTAAACTTTAGCTGTGCATTTCTTTTGTCACCATAACCCACCACTCTACTCTGGACATGCATGGGAGTGCATTATTTGTTGTTTGTACCCGTAGTAGGGCTGAGAAACAATAGTGAGCACTTTTATGTTTATCTTTTACCTAAAACACACTGACACTAATTATAAACCCTTTTTTTTATCCTCGCTAAAACACCCCGACACTATGGCCTC